GCCCTCCGTACAGAATAATAGTCTGATAAAGTGCATTCGTGTTCGTCGGCCCGTTAGCTCAGTTGGTTAGAGCGTCGAGCTAATAACGCGAAGGTCGCGGGTTCGATCCCCTCACGGGCCAGTCTTGTTCCTGCAGTTTTCAATTGTTTGGAAGGGAGCCCTCCGTACAGAATAATAGTCTGATAAAGTGCATTCGTGTTCGTCGGCCCGTTAGCTCAGTTGGTTAGAGCGTCGAGCTAATAACGCGAAGGTCGCGGGTTCGATCCCCCCCTCACGGGCCAGTCTTGTTCCTGCAGTTTTCAATTGTTTGGAAGGGAGCCCTCCGTACAGAATAATAGTCTGATAAAGTGCATTCGATTCCGTCGGCCCGTTAGCTCAGTTGGTTAGAGCGTCGAGCTAATAACGCGAAGGTCGATAAAGTGCATTCGTTCGGCCCGTTAGCTCAGTTGGTTAGAGCGTCGAGCTAATAACGCGAAGGTCGCGGGTTCGATCCCCTCACGGGCCAGTCTTGTTCCTGCAGTTTTCAATTGTTTGGAAGGGAGCCCTCCGTACAGAATAGTCTGATAGTCTGAAAAGTGCATTCGTGTTCGTCGGCCCGTTAGCTCAGTTGGTTAGAGAGCGTCGAGCTAATAACGTTTTCGAAGGTCGTACAGGGTTCGATCCCCCCGTCACGGGCCAGTCTTGTTCCTGCAGTTTTCAATTGTTTGGAAGGGAGCCCTCCGTACAGAAAATAGTCTGATAAAATGCATTCGCGTTCGTCGGCCCGTTAATAGTCTCATTCGTTGTCGTTGGTTAGAGCGTCGAGCTAATAACGCGAAGGTCGCGGGTTCGATCCCCTCACGGGCCAGTCTTGTTCCTGCAGTTTTCAATTGTTTGGAAGGGAGCCCTCCGTACAGAATAATAGTCTGATAAAGTGCATTCGATTCGTCGGCCCGTTAGCTCAGTTGGTTAGAGCGTCGAGCTAATAACGCGAAGGTCGCGGGTTCGATCCCCTCACGGGCCAGTCTTGTTCCTGCAGTTTTCAATTGTTTGGAAGGGAGCCCTCCGTACAGAATAATAGTCTGATAAAGTGCATTCGTGTTCGTCGGCCCGTTAGCTCAGTTGGTTAGAGCGTCGAGCTAATAACGCGAAGGTCGCGGGTTCGATCCCCTCACGGGCCAGTCTTGTTCCTGCAGTTTTCAATTGTTTGGAAGGGAGCCCTCCGTACAGAATAATAGTCTGATAAAGTGCATTCGATTCGTCGGCCCGTTAGCTCAGTTGGTTAGAGCGTCGAGCTAATAACGCGAAGGTCGCGGGTTCGATCCCCTCACGGGCCAGTCTTGTTCCTGCAGTTTTCAATTGTTTGGAAGGGAGCCCTCCGTACAGAATAATAGTCTGATAAAGTGCATTCGAGTCGTCGGCGTCGGCCCGTTAGCTCAGTTGGTTAGAGCGTCGAGCTAATAACGCGAAGGTCGCGGGTTCGATCCCCTCACGGGCCAGTCTTGTTCCTGCAGTTTTCAATTGTTTGGAAGGGAGCCCTCCGTACAGAATAATAGTCTGATAAAGTGCATTCGTGTTCGTCGGCCCGTTAGCTCAGTTGGTTAGAGCGTCGAGCTAATAACGCGAAGGTCGCGGGTTCGATCCCCTCACGGGCCAGTCTTGTTCCTGCAGTTTTCAATTGTTTGGAAGGGAGCCCTCCGTACAGAATAATAGTCTGATAAAGTGCATTCGATTCGTCGGCCCGTTAGCTCAGTTGGTTAGAGCGTCGAGCTAATAACGCGAAGGTCGCGGGTTCGATCCCCTCACGGGCCAGTCTTGTTCCTGCAGTTTTCAATTGTTTGGAAGGGAGCCCTCCGTACAGAATAATAGTCTGATAAAGTGCATTCGCGTTCCGTCGGCCCGTTAGCTCAGTTGGTTAGAGCGTCGAGCTAATAACGCGAAGGTCGCGGGTTCGATCCCCCTCACGGGCCAGTCTTGTTCCTGCAGTTTTCAATTGTTTGGAAGGGAGCCCTCCGTACAGAATAATAGTCTGATAAAGTGCATTCGATTCGTCGGCCCGTTAGCTCAGTTGGTTAGAGCGTCGAGCTAATAACGCGAAGGTCGCGGGTTCGATCCCCTCACGGGCCAGTCTTTTTCCTGCAGTTTTCAATTGTTTGGAAGGGAGCCCTCCGTACAGAATAATAGTCTGATAAAGTGCATTCGTGTTCGTCGGCCCGTTAGCTCAGTTGGTTAGAGCGTCGAGCTAATAACGCGAAGGTCGCGGGTTCGATCCCCTCACGGGCCAGTCTTGTTCCTGCAGTTTTCAATTGTTTGGAAGGGAGCCCTCCGTACAGAATAATAGTCTGATAAAGTGCATTCGTTCGTCGGCCCGTTAGCTCAGTTGGTTAGAGCGTCGAGCTAATAACGCGAAGGTCGCGGGTTCGATCCCCTCACGGGCCAGTCTTGTTCCTGCAGTTTTCAATTGTTTGGAAGGGAGCCCTCCGTACAGAATAATAGTCTGATAAAGTGCATTCGTGTTCGTCGGCCCGTTAGCTCAGTTGGTTAGAGCGTCGAGCTAATAACGCGAAGGTCGCGGGTTCGATCCCCTCACGGGCCAGTCTTGTTCCTGCAGTTTTCAATTGTTTGGAAGGGAGCCCTCCGTACAGAATAATAGTCTGATAAAGTGCATTCGATTCGTCGGCCCGTTAGCTCAGTTGGTTAGAGCGTCGAGCTAATAACGCGAAGGTCGCGGGTTCGATCCCCTCACGGGCCAGTCTTGTTCCTGCAGTTTTCAATTGTTTGGAAGGGAGCCCTCCGTACAGAATAATAGTCTGATAAAGTGCATTCGATTCCGTCGGCCCGTTAGCTCAGTTGGTTAGAGCGTCGAGCTAATAACGCGAAGGTCGCGGGTTCGATCCCCTCACGGGCCAGTCTTGTTCCTGCAGTTTTCAATTGTTTGGAAGGGAGCCCTCCGTACAGAATAATAGTCTGATAAAGTGCATTCGTTCGTCGGCCCGTTAGCTCAGTTGGTTAGAGCGTCGAGCTAATAACGCGAAGGTCGCGGGTTCGATCCCCTCACGGGCCAGTCTTGTTCCTGCAGTTTTCAATTGTTTGGAAGGGAGCCCTCCGTACAGAATAATAGTCTGATAAAGTGCATTCGTTCGTCGGCCCGTTAGCTCAGTTGGTTAGAGCGTCGAGCTAATAACGCGAAGGTCGCGGGTTCGATCCCCTCACGGGCCAGTCTTGTTCCTGCAGTTTTCAATTGTTTGGAAGGGAGCCCTCCGTACAGAATAATAGTCTGATAAAGTGCATTCGTGTTCGTCGGCCCGTTAGCTCAGTTGGTTAGAGCGTCGAGCTAATAACGCGAAGGTCGCGGGTTCGATCCCCTCACGGGCCAGTCTTGTTCCTGCAGTTTTCAATTGTTTGGAAGGGAGCCCTCCGTACAGAATAATAGTCTGATAAAGTGCATTCGATTCGTCGGCCCGTTAGCTCAGTTGGTTAGAGCGTCGAGCTAATAACGCGAAGGTCGCGGGTTCGATCCCCTCACGGGCCAGTCTTGTTCCTGCAGTTTTCAATTGTTTGGAAGGGAGCCCTCCGTACAGAATAATAGTCTGATAAAGTGCATTCGTGTTCGTCGGCCCGTTAGCTCAGTTGGTTAGAGCGTCGAGCTAATAACGCGAAGGTCGCGGGTTCGATCCCCTCACGGGCCAGTCTTGTTCCTGCAGTTTTCAATTGTTTGGAAGGGAGCCCTCCGTACAGAATAATAGTCTGATAAAGTGCATTCGTGTTCCGTCGGCCCGTTAGCTCAGTTGGTTAGAGCGTCGAGCTAATAACGCGAAGGTCGCGGGTTCGATCCCCTCACGGGCCAGTCTTGTTCCTGCAGTTTTCAATTGTTTGGAAGGGAGCCCTCCGTACAGAATAATAGTCTGATAAAGTGCATTCGTGTTCGTCGGCCCGTTAGCTCAGTTGGTTAGAGCGTCGAGCTAATAACGCGAAGGTCGCGGGTTCGATCCCCTCACGGGCCAGTCTTGTTCCTGCAGTTTTCAATTGTTTGGAAGGGAGCCCTCCGTACAGAATAATAGTCTGATAAAGTGCATTCGTTCCGTCGGCCCGTTAGCTCAGTTGGTTAGAGCGTCGAGCTAATAACGCGAAGGTCGCGGGTTCGATCCCCTCACGGGCCAGTCTTGTTCCTGCAGTTTTCAATTGTTTGGAAGGGAGCCCTCCGTACAGAATAATAGTCTGATAAAGTGCATTCGATTCCGTCGGCCCGTTAGCTCAGTTGGTTAGAGCGTCGAGCTAATAACGCGAAGGTCGCGGGTTCGATCCCCTCACGGGCCAGTCTTGTTCCTGCAGTTTTCAATTGTTTGGAAGGGCCCTCCGTAGCCCTCCGTACAGAATAATAGTCTGATAAAGTGCATTCGTGTTCGTCGGCCCGTTAGCTCAGTTGGTTAGAGCGTCGAGCTAATAACGCGAAGGTCGCGGGTTCGATCCCCTCACGGGCCAGTCTTGTTCCTGCAGTTTTCAATTGTTTGGAAGGGAGCCCTCCGTACAGAATAATAGTCTGATAAAGTGCATTCGATTCCGTCGGCCCGTTAGCTCAGTTGGTTAGAGCGTCGAGCTAATAACGCGAAGGTCGCGGGTTCGATCCCCTCACGGGCCAGTCTTGTTCCTGCAGTTTTCAATTGTTTGGAAGGGAGCCCTCCGTACAGAATAATAGTCTGATAAAGTGCATTCGTGTTCGTCGGCCCGTTAGCTCAGTTGGTTAGAGCGTCGAGCTAATAACGCGAAGGTCGCGGGTTCGATCCCCTCACGGGCCAGTCTTGTTCCTGCAGTTTTCAATTGTTTGGAAGGGAGCCCTCCGTACAGAATAATAGTCTGATAAAGTGCATTCGATTCCGTCGGCCCGTTAGCTCAGTTGGTTAGAGCGTCGAGCTAATAACGCGAAGGTCGCGGGTTCGATCCCCTCACGGGCCAGTCTTGTTCCTGCAGTTTTCAATTGTTTGGAAGGGAGCCCTCCGTACAGAATAATAGTCTGATAAAGTGCATTCGATTCCGTCGGCCCGTTAGCTCAGTTGGTTAGAGCGTCGAGCTAATAACGCGAAGGTCGCGGGTTCGATCCCCTCACGGGCCAGTCTTGTTCCTGCAGTTTTCAATTGTTTGGAAGGGAGCCCTCCGTACAGAATAATAGTCTGATAAAGTGCATTCGATGTTCGTCGGCCCGTTAGCTCAGTTGGTTAGAGCGTCGAGCTAATAACGCGAAGGTCGCGGGTTCGATCCCCTCACGGGCCAGTCTTGTTCCTGCAGTTTTCAATTGTTTGGAAGGGAGCCCTCCGTACAGAATAATAGTCTGATAAAGTGCATTCGTTTCGTCGGCCCGTTAGCTCAGTTGGTTAGAGCGTCGAGCTAATAACGCGAAGGTCGCGGGTTCGATCCCCTCACGGGCCAGTCTTGTTCCTGCAGTTTTCAATTGTTTGGAAGGGAGCCCTCCGTACAGAATAATAGTCTGATAAAGTGCATTCGATTCCGTCGGCCCGTTAGCTCAGTTGGTTAGAGCGTCGAGCTAATAACGCGAAGGTCGCGGGTTCGATCCCCTCACGGGCCAGTCTTGTTCCTGCAGTTTTCAATTGTTTGGAAGGGAGCCCTCCGTACAGAATAATAGTCTGATAAAGTGCATTCGTGTTCCGTCGGCCCGTTAGCTCAGTTGGTTAGAGCGTCGAGCTAATAACGCGAAGGTCGCGGGTTCGATCCCCTCACGGGCCAGTCTTGTTCCTGCAGTTTTCAATTGTTTGGAAGGGAGCCCTCCGTACAGAATAATAGTCTGATAAAGTGCATTCGTGTTCCGTCGGCCCGTTAGCTCAGTTGGTTAGAGCGTCGAGCTAATAACGCGAA